AAAACGGGAAGAGAAACACACACACGTGTGGAACGCTGCCGTACGCGGCCGCGGCACAAGCCGCGAGAGAGTGAAAGCGGGCGAAAGTACAATGAACGCGACGCCAATCGGCAGTTTCATCACAATTAAATGTTACAGCGTAACAGTTTGATAGGCTCCGCGCGCGCGATGCCACTGGAAACCTAAATTCCCGACTGATTGAACTTTCGGTCGTTCTTCACAAACAGTAATGATTTCAAGTCGTACCATATTTGTATTCGGATTTCGGATAGTTTGTTAATAATGCACAAAATCTAATAATGCACTTATATATATGAGCCCTTTATTTTGAAGGTGGCATAAGTCACTTTACCGTAATGAAAAGTGGTGATTTTTTAATGTTTATACGAAATTATTTATACTGAGAAAAATATCAGTATCCTGAGATAACAAATACAAGTGAATCTTCTCGAAAGTTAGCATCCATATTTTTAAACGTGTTAAAACGCAAACCCTTAAATATGTCGACTTAAAAACAAAGTGACTTATGCCACTTTCAAAATAAACGGCTCATATTTAGATATATTTTATATATATTATTATATAAAATATAATAATATTATATTATATTATGTATATATTATAATAATATAATATATATTTAGATATATTTTATTTACGTATCGTTACACGTACAAGTGAAAGATTCAGTCGATCAATTTAAAATTATATTGCGCTCGAAGTATGTAACAAATATCACGTAACAGAACATTGTCTCACGATTGCAGCTGCAAATTGTTGCAGCCACATTTTGGCTCAATACCGTCTACAGTGTTCATTGAACACGATGCCGAACAAATTTTGTTAGGCTAACATATACAAAGACAGTAACAACATTTTCAACGTAGTCCTCCTGATAAATTGATTTTTGGCCATCCAAAGCGGGTTCCTGGACCACCGTGCCCTCTCTATTGGGTTGGCAACTAAGTAATTGCCGATTTCAGTTATAGATGTCTCTCACTCCCATTTTTATGATATCCGTAAATGTTATATTAAAAAAAATTTTTTATTTCATTGAACAAATCGGCAATTACTTCGTTGCCAAGCCAATATTATACATGTAAGAAGGCTATAAAAGCCGCTGGATCGACGAAAAAGGCGACGAATTTCCCGCGAATTGTCATGCAACCGGTTCGAAGGAAGACACCGATAGAATAGGAACGTTCATCGACGTTGATTGACAACTGTCGGAACATCTCCGTTAATATAAGCGTACGTGTATTTGTTTCAGGTGATCTCTAACGGTTTGACGAGCGACGCGGACAGCTGCGACGGTTTAACAAACGGTGAGTCACGTTTCATCGATGTATCTCCGCCTCTTTTTCGTCTCCCCTCCACCTATCTCGGTCTTGCCTTTTTTATTCTCATTATCGTGCCCGATGGTGCTCCGGTAAAGAACCCTAAATGGCAATGAAAGCCGGCGCATCAGATCGTACTGGATCAGCATGGTCGGTGCGCTTTCGTTTCATTGACCAAATCTCCCACGATGGATTGAAAAGGATGGACGCCGTTTGTCGGTGGACGTTCTGCATTGTCTGCACCCTCCGCGATGCACCGGGGATATCAATCGTGCCGGCCGATTATAACCCTTCGACATGTCGCTACTGTCGGCTACTGGCCATCTGAATCAACTTAATTCCGGTGGCGGTTTACCACGTCCCATCGTTGGCCCGTTCAATGATGCAACGCGACCGCGAGAAGCACGAAACCGTCTCAAACAACCCGAAACGGCATCAAACGTGCTCATAAAGTCTGAAACTGCATCAAACGTTCTCATACAGTTTGAAACGGCATCAAACGTGTTGTTTATACAGTCTGAAATAGAATCAGTCAGCATCAAATGTGCTCAAACAACCTGAAACAGCATCGAACGTACTGATTCAGTCTGAAACAGCATCAGTCAGTATCAAACGTGTTCAAACGACCTGAAATATCATAAAAGAACGTACTCATACAGTCTGAAACAGAGTCAAACGTGTTCAAACGACCTGAAATATCATCAAACGTACTCATACAGTCTGAAACAGAGTCAAACGTGCTCAAACAACTCGAAACATCATCAAACGTGCTCAAACAAACTGATCAAACAGTGCTTAGACAGTTTGAAGCAGCATTAAACGTACCTCAAGCAACGTGAAGCAGCATCAAACGTGCTGATACAGACTGAAACAGCGTCAAACGGGTTCAAACGACCTGAAAACATCATCAAACATGCTCAAACAGCCTGGCACAGCATCAAACGTGCTCGAACAGCTTGAAACAGCGTGAAACGAGCTCAGACAGCCTGAAACAGCATCAAACGTGCTCAAACAGCCTGCAGAAGTATCAAATGTGTTCAGGCAGTTTGAAACAGTATCAAACGTACCTCGGACAATCTGACGCAGCACCAAACATGCTCAGACAGTTTGAAACAGCATCAAACGTGCTCAGATAATTTGAAACAACGCCAAACGTGCTCAAACAGTTTGAAACAGCGCCAAACGTGCTCAGACAGTTCGAAACAACGCCAAACGTGCTCAGACAGTTCAAAACACCATCAAACGTGCTCAGACAGTTCGAAACACCATCAAACGTGCTCAAATAGCCTGAAACGTTCACGAGTGCATTCATGCAAATTTTATCCAAAGTCATTCACATTGTTCTCCTGAATCGTGAGTTTTGAGATTTGCGTCGCTTTTCCAATAGCTTGATTTAAGGTGCGTCCCAAAGTGATGGAACCAGCTCAGTAACTATCAGTAATCATGTGATTAATATATTTATTTAATATATAGTTCTTCATAAATGAACCAAAACAGAAGGCATGTTCGAGTGTAATAAAACAAAAAAAAATCAAAGTTCGCTAGTTACTGTAATCATAAAATCTAACTTAATAATGCGACGATGTTGGCAGCACTGCTTCGCTACGTCTGTTATTACATATTGACAACACTGGCGAAACTAGCTTTACTTATTTTACGCTATCACCTGACAACTTACTTTGAGCTGTAATTCGTTATTTGATCTTTACATTTACCAAAAAGCGAATTTGATGTGACAAATTACTAAGTCAAATTTTTTATCATATAAATATAAAAGCTTCTTCGTATTTCACAAACTCTCATCTACTACGTAGTTATATACATGGTGTCCCAGTTTCATTCCATGAAATTTGACCGGCATACTTTCCAAGTAAGAATTTTAAAAAAGAATATTATTTGAATGTAGATTTTGAAATGCTTTGTTAAAAAGTTACGGCAAAAATTCAGGTTGACAACGGACAGCTTTCTTGATTGATACATTTTGTTACGATTCCATTTCACAATGTAAATAATAACTGGAAACATTGTAAACGTTAGCCTTATGGAAAGATACGAGAAAGATAACGGCGATGTAATGACAAAACGTCAGTCCGTTATCGATTTGTATTTTTATCGCAACACTTTAATAGCGCGTCGAAAAGCCGATGTTGATACTTGTACTTGTAGGATACGCCTGGTGAAGCTTCGCGGAAAGAAACTGCGAACAGTGTGTTAAATTTGATCATCGATGATAGCATGGGCACGTTAATTGACCGCAACGAATTTCCCGGGAAAATGTGTTGAAAGCCGGCGGAGTGGGAACCGTCATAGACGATGGAAAGTAGTTTTCAGACGGTGGTTCGCGGTAAATCCGCTAAATGGTTACGGCCCTGACTCTGCCCTTCGGTCATTATCATCTGTCGGAGCGGTCGCCGCATTTTCTCACGCTACTTCAGCTGCTCCTTGCCCGCGGAGTGCAATGATCTCCCTCTCTCGTACCCGCACATCTGCCTCAAAATTGCATCCTGACCGGGTCCGCATATTTTTATTTGCGCTCCCTTCGCCCGCGTTTCTCTCTCCGCGTCGCTCTTCCTATTTTGCACTTCCTCCCTTCTTCCTCCCCTTTTCTCTTTCTCCCGCTATTCTGCTCTCCCTCTCTTTCTCTTATTTTTTCCGTTCTGCTCTCTCTGTTTCTCTTATTTTTTCCGTTCTGCTCTCTCTCTCTTTCTCTTATTTTTTCCGTTCTGCTCTCTCTCTCTTTCTCTTATTTTTCCGTTCTGCTCTCTCTCTCTCTCTCTCTTTTCTCTCATTCTTTCAGTTCTGCTCTTTCTCTCTCTCTCTCTCTCTCTCTCTCTTCTCTCATTCTTTCAGTTCTGCTCTTTCTCTCTCTCTCTCTCTCTCTCTCTCTCTCCTCCTAATTCTGTTCTTTCTTTCTCTGTTTCTCTCTATGCTGTCCCCCATTGCATCTATTCGACTCTTTTCTCTCTATTCTGCTTTTTTCTCTCATTCTCACTATTCTATTCTATTCTTTCTCTCTTCCTCTTTATTCTACTCTTTTTTTTCCTCTTACTCTATATTCTGCACTCCCTTTCTCTCATCCTCTCTATTCTGCTTTCCCTTTCTGGCTATTCTATCCTTTCTTTTTCTTTTCGTATATATTCCGCTCTTTCTTTCTGTCTATTCTGCTCTTCTTTCTGTCTTTCTGTATATTCTCTTTCTCCAAATTTTCTTCTTTTCTCACAACTTTATTCTTTCTTCCTCTCTTCCTCCCCTTTCTACTATTCTTCTTTCTCTTACTCTCTTTTCTTTCTTTATCCCTATTCTGTTCTTTCTTTCTCACTTTCTCTTTGTTATACTTTTTCTTTCACTCTTTCTTCCTCCCTTTCTTTATATTCTGCTTTTTATTTCTTTCTGTCTCTCTTTCTTTTCTTCTCTCTCCCACTATTTAGCTGTTTCTCTCCTTCTCTCTCTCCCCATTTTCGTTTTCCTCCTCTGCATTACTCTCTTTTTCATCAGTTTGCTGTATCTTTTTCTCTTCCTCATTCATTCCCGCTGTTTGACTATTTCCCTCTTTTCTTTCTCTCCTTCTCCATTTTTCTCTCTTTTCTCTTTTGTTCATTATTTCTTTTTTTCTCTCTTTTCCACATTTTCCCTCTATATCTCCATTTTATTTTGTTGTCTCTCTTTCTCGATTCTATTCTTTCATTCTGTCCTTTTCTCTTTCTATTTTGCACTACCTTTTTCTCTTCTTATCTCGCACTATTTCGTTCTTTCTCTTTCGCCCCCTCCTTCTCCCCTTTTCTCTCTTTCTTTCACTCTTCTCTTCCTCCTTTTTTCTATTTTTTTCTCTCTTCTCTTTTATTTATTATTTCTTTCTTTCTCTTCTCTCTAGTTCCTCTTTCTCTCTCTCTCTCTCTCTCTCTCTTTTGTTCCTGTCTCTCTTTCTCGATATTATTCCTTCTTTCTGCTCTCTTCTCTCACTTTTCCTTTCTCTCCTTCTCTCGCTTTTAAACACGCTTACCCCTTTCCCGCTCCGTTCTCTCCCGGACACATCGACCAAACGAACATTAATCTCGACGAAAATGAACGCTGCCTGTTTTCGCAGGATCGATCGCCCTTGTTTCTCTGCTTTTCACAAAAGCTTGACAAATGATGCATGTACCCTATCGTATTTCATTTTTCGAGATTTACTCGTGTTCCACCGACCTATACTCTTAATAATATTTTTAAAGTAAAAATATTCTTAGTTTGTGTATAAATCCTCAAACCACTACGAATTCCGGGTTCATTTTCACCCAGTGTATTGACATCGTCACCCAATTAGGGTATATGTGTCGATTATTGTGCCTATACGATCACTTCATATATAAAAACAATTATCGAACATTCTAACAACAACATTATTAAATCAAAGATATTGAATTGATCAAGTAAAATTTGATCTGTAGTTTTCATAACCGTATCGGAAACTAATTTGTTAAATTTCTAATAATGGTTCGACGTATTTTCAGCTTGATCTTGTTTAAAAAAAAACTCAAGGAACAAGTTGTAAATAAAGATACAACAAGAAGTCGTAAATAAAAATAAAACAAGAATGCAAAAGTGATACAAAAATTATATTCATTAAACTCGTCCAAATTACAGAAAAACAATGGTGTAACCGGCTTTTTTGATGTATTTTTTTATTTGAAGTAACTGAAACAAATTTACGTTTTGTTACTATTACTAGACACCGTTAACTCTATTAAATTTTCCTGTTTCTTTTTTTTTCGATTTTATACGACGCTAATCTGAATGCTATTGTTACTATTGTTACTATTGTTACTATTGTTACTATTGTTACTCAATGCTATTGTCACGGCTAGAAATACGTTACCGACTGTTACACCGAGTCAGCTCCGAGGGTAAAGTATGTTTAACGTTCATACGAAAATAGATGGCGGCCAATAGAAGCCAATCGTCTGTGCCTGTGCGAGATAATGTGATTTTTCACATGACGAAAGCTACAG